GCTATGAGTCGCAAACGACTCGACAGCACATAACAACAGCAACAACAAGCCAAAGAAAATGTTGTTTGGTTTTAAGATTATTTCAAGTGATATTTTCAGTTTAAGGGTTAGAAATTGTCTCAGGACAACAGTTTCAACGGTTCCTGTGAGCCCTAGGCCCCAGGAAAATTAAGAATGCTGGTCTGAGTTTCCTCGCTTTGGGTCAGGATTCTTCTAGAGAGTCTTTAGTCCGAAGTTCTCTAAAAGTAGCCACACCTCTCAGGTCCTCTGGTCTCAGGGCAGAAAGGAGGCAGCTTCCATGAGGGCGATTAGCCACATATTCCACTTCCTCTCCTGACTGATGGCTCCTTCCTGTTGTTCCCGGTGATACAGACCAAGTGCTGGGCCCTGAGGAGCCACATGTAAGCTGTCAGGAGAAGGGGTGCCAGCAGGAGATGGGCAGATGGGCATGTGCACCCCACGAGAAAAAGCAGAAGCAGCAGGAGACTGAAGGGAGGCAGGGAAAGAAGGCTAAGGGAGCAGGGCCGGGGAAGGAGGAAAGGAGGGACACCAGCAGAGCCTAGCGGCGAGCAGTCACAGGGTGTCACTGAACCTCTAAAATGGAAAGACATACCAAGGAGGATGGGCTGGCTGCGGGACCCATGGTCCCTGAGCAGTCCAAGTGGACACACACCAGAATTAACCAGAAAAACACCACCAACGACCCCATAATTACTGGTTGGGGTGGGGAGGGGTGATGGTGCTGGCACTCCAGGGTCGGAGGCAGCTCCCAGGACACACAAGGCTTGTGGACAGGAGACTGAGGAAGATGTAGGAGAAGCCAGGTGACAGGGGGACAGTGAGGTCCGCCATGAGCCTTGTCCAGGTCACATCCAAGTCACGTCTGAGGACCAGGGGAGTCAGGGGACAGGGAGACACAGTGAGGTCCAGGCCCAGCACACACTGGTCCATCTTGAGCGCTAGAACACCTCGTCTGTGTCACGTTCCTGTCACACCTGAGGACGAGGTGACAGGGAGACACAGTGAGCTCCAGTTCCAGCACCCCCGTCTCATCCCGACCGCCGTCCGTGTCACGTCGAAGGATGAGGGAGGTGACAGGCAGACACAGGTCTCCATCCCTGCACACAGTGGCCCATCTTTAACACGGGAACGCCTCGTCTGTGTCACAGCCATGTCACAGATGAAGACGAGGGGGCAGACACAGTGAGGTCCCGTCCCACACGCCACCCCAACCTGGGCACTGGAATGCCTCGTCCATGTCACATCCCATGGGAGCCCTCCCTGGTCAGGACCAGGAGGACAGAGAGCCGTGTAAGCCTCAACCACACAGCTCAGGGCGGAGCTGAGAGCATAAAGAAGTCACCTACCATTAACAGTGATGGTCCCCGTGGTCTGAGGAACCCCGACCAGCGTCACAGGGTACAGACCAGACTCGGCGGGCAGAGAGAGCGCTGCAGGCAGAGACTCGAACTCCACTCCGCTGGTGAGGAGGCCCTGCAGGAGGGAAGAAGGGGGACAGTAAGCGCAGGCCACGCTGGCCCCATGAGGTGATCGCGGGCCACTGCAGGCGCTGCCAAAGGAAACCACAGAGGACCGTGGACAGGACGGGCGCAAACGGGAGTGAGTCCTGGGTCGTTCAGGGACAGAGCCCGGCTGATTTATCTTGTTTTACAAATGAGAAGGTAAATACAAAGAAAACAATAGAAATGTTTCACTTATAAACAAAAGGACACAAAATTATAAAATGTACCACAAGTTCACAGCCCTTCAGCCCAACTGCAAGAACCGACCAATTCCACTCTGTACGTACAAGTCACAGGACAGGACAGAGAATGGGGTAGACAGGCACCCTGGGCTGGAGAAGACCCCCCGGCCTTCCAGTGCAGTTGGCCAAACTGGTCCAGGGCTGTCCCGTCCGGCCCGCACAGGGACCAAGCTGCTTGTGACGTGTCCCCAGAGAGCTCACAGTCAGTACAGAGGGCCTGCAGGTGTGTTCATTAGTTTCACAAACAGGTTTTCTCCAGCGCCACCATCACCCACTAACACGAGTCTGAACTGGACTTGGAATTCTCCTTGGTTGGCCGTTGTCTGGGCCCTGTCTGACTGAGGAATGGAAAGACGGTGGAACCTGTGTGTTCCATTCTATCTGTTTAAAAGCAGGATGTATAGAAACCAAAAAACAATCCCTTGCATCAGGTCATTTCCCCCTCACAGTGACCCTCCAGACAGAGCGGGACCGCTTCACAGAGTTTCCAAAGCTGTGGATCTTTCTGGAAGGAGACGACCACACCTTTCTCCCACGACTGACTGCTGGGTTCAAACCACTGATCATCTGGTTAATGACCAAGTCTTTTAACCTCCGCTTCACCACGGCCTTTACGGGCCGCTGCCAGGGCAACCCCGAGACGGCCGGGTGCGTGAACAGCAGCACCGCTTAGCACCATCCCTGGCACGGCATTGTAACTAAGTAGGGCTGTGCGGCAAGCCGCCAACTGGAGACTCATGGGATGGAAACCGGGTGAGGGGGTGATCTGGCTCCAGAAAATATGGGGTCACAGTGTCGTCCCAAGGGGTGGGCCTTTCCCAGCCCACAAAAACACAGAATCGGGACACTGAACCCAAGCGTGACCGCCCAGCGGGGACACAATCGTTGACTCCTATGTGACGAGCCTCTTCCTCCCAGGGGCCTGGTCATCCCAGCATCTCACAGCAAACAAGCAACACTGAAAGTCCAGGATAGTGCACAGAATGCAAACTCATGTGCATCTCACGTAAACCTCAAACCACCCTACAAATTATGTCGTATTTAAGCGCCATCGAAGCAGAATGACTCACAGCGATGCTATGAACAAAAGATCTGAACCCTGTTCTATCCTGCACCATCTTCTCACACTTCCTGATTCACAAGAGCCCACTGCAGCAGTCATGGTGTCAGTCCACCTGACAGAGGGTCTCCTTCCCCTTCACCTACCCTCCACCGTTCCCAGAATCATGTCCTTCTCCAAGAACAGTCCCTCCTGAAACAATATGCCCCAAGTTTGTGACGCAAAGCTTCATCATTCTTGCTTCCAAAGAGCACTCCGGCTGCAGCCTCTCCAAGCCATATCTGCTCATTCTCTTGGCCATCAATGGGACGTTCAGTTCTCCAACACCAGAACTCAAAGGCATCAATTCTTCTTCTGTCATCCTTATTCACTGACCAGCTCTCAGATGCATAGTAAGTGATCGGAAAGACTATGGCCTGAATCAAACACACTTTAATCCTCAAACTGAAATCATTACTCAATAATATGGAGAGGTCCCTAACTGCAGATTTTCCCAGTATAATGTGTCTCCTTATTTCCTGACTGCTGGTACCAAGGGTGTTTGTTAATTGTGGATCCAAGCAAGATAAGGCTGTTGACCGTTTCAATCTCTTCTCCATCCATCACGGTGTTGCCTATCAGTCCAGTGGTAAGAATCTTTGTTTTCTTGACACTGGCATGCAATCCATACTGAAGGCTGCATTTCTTGATCTTCTACAACAAGTGCTTCAATAAGGTATACTGCATTGAAACAGATGAAAGAACTTTTTAAAAGGGATATATGATTATGTATCATTGCAATGACAGGAGTCCAAAATGAAGGCTGCACAGTGGAGTGGACTTGCGGGGAGGGATTGTATAACAGTGGAAGAATTTTTCTTTTACTTTCAAAGAGAAGAGTGAATGGAGGAAGGGGTGGGCAGGGAGAAAAATGCAACAATGAATGAATGGAAATCCTAAGTCTGTAAACATTCATTAAAATTCATTAAAAAAGAAAATGCTTCAAGTCCTCCTCACTTTCAGCAAGCAAGGTTGTGTCATCTGCATAACATAGCTTATTAATGAGTCTCCCTCCAATCCTGATGCCACAATCCTCTTTTTAGAGTCCAGATTATCGGATAATTTGCTCAGATTAAACAGGTATGGAGAGAGAATACAACCTTGACACACTCCCTTCTCAATTTTAAACCATGTAGTGTTCCCCCTGCTCTGTTCACACAATAGCCTCCTGGTCCAGATATAAGGTTCCACAGGAGCGCGACCAAAGTGCTCGGGGAGTCCCATTCTTCTCAGTGTCAGCCACAACATGTTATGATCCACACAGTCAAATGCCTTTGCATCGTCAATAAAGCACAAGTAGGCATTCTACCGGTATTCCTTACTTTTCACCTGGATCCTTCTGACATCAGCAATGATAGCCCTGGTGCCACTGCCTCTCCTAAATTCTGCTTGAACTTCTATCAAAGTGAAAGATCTGAACAGAAGATTTCAAAGAGCAGCTCAGGAGGAGAAAGCAAAGTATTGTAATGGAATGTGAGGAGAGCTGGAATTCGACAATTAAAAGGAAAGAACTCTCTCTGCATTTCTCAAGCTGCGAAAACTGAAAAACAAATTTAAGCCTTTTGTCATAATACTGGAAGATACTATGGGCAATATATTGAATGACCCAGAAAGCATCAAAAGAAGGTGGAGGGAATATACAGATTCACTGTAGCAGAAAGAACTGATAGACACTGAAAAATTTCAGAAAGTACCATATGGGCAGGAGCCAATGGTAGTGAAGGAGGAAGTGGAAGCTGCACTGAAGGCACTGGCAAAAAATAAGGCCCCAGGAATCAATGGAATACCAACTGACTTGTTTCAATGAACAGATGCAGCCTTGGATGCCCTCACCAGTTTATGCAAGAGAATTTGGAGAACAGCTCTCTGGCCAAAGGATTGGAAGAGGGCCATTATTTACTCTAAGAAAGGTGATCCAAGAGAATGTGGAAACTATCAAAGAAAATCATTCACATCACATGCAAGCAAAATCCTGCTGAAGATCATTCCAAAATGGCTGGAACAGCACAGAGACAGGGAACTGCCAGGGGCTGTGCAGATCACGGCGCCAGCTAACTGAGCGTGGTCTGTGCTCCGGCCAAAGCCCCTTCAAACATGCACCAACACTGTGCTGGGGGCTGAGGACAAAGGAACAAGCCCTGACACCCACCCACAGGAAGCGACAATGTTAGGCAAGCCACACGTGAAGACAGGCGTGTGGCACAGAGCCTGTGCCCTCCAACTGTTGGTAATGAGCTGTGCACTGAGCCGCACAGGCGGGGGCTGGCAGTACGTACCATGTTTTCCACTCGGAGTTCAAATGGCATGGGGTTGTACACCATCAGCTGGACTTCACACACCTCGCCCTGGACCCACTGGAAGTCTAGAAGACACACATCGGGAACCCAGGTTAGCCAGCATCTCTGCATGTCCCCCTGCTTCCAGGGGAGCCTTTCTCAACGTAGCAGCAGGCACTGTGATCACTTTGAAATAAACAACTGAAAACAGGTCTGAAGCAGAGCAGAGGAAGGCACCCCTCCCACTCTACAGACAGCATGGGCCGTCGTCATCAGCAGGTCACATGTGCAGCACAGCACACCAGATGCAGCCTCACATCACTGTCATTGTCCACACGGCACTCTTCCGTACACAGCATCACTGAAGCATCTCGCCCAGACTGGCAGCTCAGGACAACGGCCTGGGGCCCTTGTGAGTGACAGCCTAATGCCTCCTCTCCACACACACAGAGGCGGAAGAAGGTGACATCCTGCACGTACTTACAGGACATCCGCAGGTGGCAGACTTGCCCTGAGACACCTAAGATGAGCTATCAGTCTCTCCTTCCTGGAAAAGAGGCATGTGGATAAGGAAAGAGGGTCAATGGATTCCGTGAACATCCGACTCTGTGACTCTGAGCTCAGAAAAACTAGACGGTGCCCGGCTCTCACTGCTGACCGCTTCAAAGGACATCACAGCAGAGGGCTCCTGACCAAGTAGGGGGAAATGTGGAACAAAACTCAAAACCATAAAAATATGGCCAGTCTTGCTAGTCTGATACAGGCTGGAGGAAACGCAGAGACTTTGACTCTTACTAATCTTCAAGCCTAGAAATAAAATCATCGTTATGACTCAACTTTCAGTCAAATGTTGTTGTACTTGTTATGATTTGCTATTGCGTTGGAGCCAACTCAGAGCTGAGCCTTCAGTGTCTTCTCAGAGCCTGTAAATCCCTCAGGAGGAGACTCCCCATCTTTCTCCTATGGATTCAAACTGCCTATCTTTTGAGTTGGCAGCACTTCCTGGGCCAGCAGAGCTCCCTAATCCAAGGGCAGAAAGGCTGATAAGGTGATCAGTAACCCCGAGGAGGGGTCCACTCCACAGATCTGTCAACCACACATGACCAGAAAGCCAACATTTGCTCAGGGGGAAAGCTCAGAAGACAGGCGGGGCCAGGGAAGAACAAACGGAAGCAGAACGCACAGAGGAAGTGGGAAGAGGGCTGTTACAGGGCAGGGATTGTAAATTAAGATGTCTATGGAAACCAATTTGCTCAGCACACTTCCATTCAAATCACAGTGAAAGGGTCAAGGGGGGCGAGTGCCCTGTGAACGGTGCTCCTAGAAGAACTGCCCAGATGGAATCACCATGAAGGAGCACTTCGAAGAGGAGGCAGAGCCTGAGGGGCCAGGAGCTCACACTCACAGGAAGGACAACTCCAGAAAGGAGGGTGCAGATGGCCACACCCCAGGACACGCCAGCTCTCTCCCAGAACTGCTCGTGTGCAAGCTGATGAACGGGGGGGGGGGGTTCTGCTCAACATCAAAAAAAGCAAATACATGTTTAAAGTAAGAAAAGCACCTTGCAGAAACAAGCAGCCCAGTGTGAGGGACGGGGCCGCGTGTCTACTCAGTGGACCATGACCTTGGGCTGCACACCTCGTCTACATTTCTCTCATGCACCTTGCAGACCCTGACTCACAGTGAAAGGCGTGTGGCCGCTCTGCATCTAACGAGTCTACAGCGACAGGCTGCCGGCAGTGCGTCTGCACCAGGTTTCCATCATTCTCACAACGACCAACCTCTCCAGAGTTCTAGTAACACCTGGAGGACTACAGAGAGCCTGTTCTCTGAACGCCCGGGGAAGGAAAGTCCTGTGACGGACTCCACTGGTCCACAGCGGGATATTCTGACACGGCAGTCACCTCCCACCTGCTGATCTCATCATCTTTCTCTGCACAGCACCAACTTTCAGCTTCTTTGGAAGCTACTCATCTTGCTAAATGAGGAGGAGGTACACACACCCAGGAGGGGACCTCGTGTGTAGACGTCTGCATCTATACAGATGGACCCACAGAGGAAGGGAACTACTATGCAGACATCTGTACGTCTGTGTATAGATGGACCCTGCAGAGGGAGGGACCTTGTGTGTAGATGGACCCTGCAGAGGGAGGGACCTTGTGTGTAGACATCTGTATGTCTGTGTACAGAAGGACCCTGCAGAGGGAGGGACCTCATGAATGGACATCTGTGCATCTATACAGATGGACCCCGCAGAGGGAGGGGCCTCGCGTGCAGACGTCTGCATCGATACAGATGGAACCAGCAGAGGGAGGGACCTCATCTGTGGATGTCTGTACAGATGGACCCCGCAGAGGGAGGGACCTTGTGTGTAGACATCTGTATGTCTGTGTACAGAAGGATCCAGCCAGAGGGAGGGATCTCATGTATGGACGTCTGTGTGTCTATACAGATGGACCCCGCAGAGGGAGGGACCTCGTGTGCAGACGTCTG